GTTCATTTTTTATAACATTTACTCACTTTTGGAATAATTATTTGTATTTGACATATTAGTGAAATGAAATATCTTTGTTATTTATGGTATTTTATTTTGTATTATGAGATTTTTAATGTATTATTTAATTTGAAAATTAGTAAATCTATAAATAATATTTTTTTTAAACATTTAAAATTATGATACGCAAAAATGTGTGTCATCTTCATTTATGACATGACCTTTCTTGACAATGGCTTTCTTGATACGCATTGTGTATCATTAACACGCGCGTCGTAAGGTTACGACACACGAATGCGTGTCGTCTTCCTTTATGACATGGCCTTTCTTGATACGCAATGCGTGTCGTAAAAGCGCGTCGTAAATGCGCGTCGTCTCTCTTTATGACAGGGCCTTCCTTGAAGCGCATTTGCGCGTCGTCTGAGCCTTTTACGACGCGCAATGAGCGTCGTAAAAGGCTGTTTTTCTAGTAGTGTGACTTATATAATATTGGAATCTAAACTACATTTCATGTATTTTGTCACACCCCGGCCATCGGCGGAAACACCGAGCAGTGTAACGTCATTTCTTATATCATAGTTATCAACTTCCTGAAAACACATGCAATTTAAAATACGTTAACATAAAGTTGGTGAGTTCACAGGTTTTGACTCCATATAAAAATACCACTTTTTCTCAAGTTCAAAAGTATAGTTTTGAAAGTATAATTTTGACTCTCCAACGTTTACTATATATATATATATATATATATATATATATATATATATATATCATAGGTATAAAAGTTTACTTACCAAATAAGTATATACCTATAAGTCTCATATACTATGAATATAAGTGTTTGCAATTCCATACAAACGAAAGTTGATACGTATAAATCTTATTTCAGTTCTATACGAGTAAAACCATTACGTATAAATCTATTTCAATTCTGTACGAGTAAAAACGCTACATGTAAATCTATTTCAGTTCTATACGAGTAAAATGCTACGTATAAATCTATTTCAATTCTATACAACTATGTGTGCTAGGTATAATTATCTACTTAATATAAGTAGTACCTAGGGTATAAGTAGGGGGAAACTTATACTTAACATTAATACTTGTATAACGACGAAGTGTAATGTTTCTAACAAGTTGCTACCATGAGTTTGTAACCGCTGCTTGACAACAAAACCTCTGACAAAACAATACACTCATGATTTACCATGAGAAACAAACACTTCGCGCTTCATCGATGCCGGAATAAAAATAAAAGGAACGAATCGTCACTCGCTTGTCTTGGGTTGTAATTAACAACCATGAGTGGGGTCGTCAACCCGTATCTTATTCATACACGGCTTCCTCGCTCACACGGGATAACGGTTACAGGTCAGAGGACTTCCACTAAGATCCCCAATCTTAGTTGATGAATGAGGTAGCTCATGTAGACTTTGATGACTTCCTATAGCTCTAACAACAAAAGCATTTTCAGGTCTAAAACCTTAAGTTACTAGACTTTGCTTTTAAACATTACTCCTAACTTCATAATATTTAGGCAGTATAACAACTATATTTTGAAGTAAAAACCAGGTTTTATCTTGACCTAAAACCAATAATAACAACATATAATGTTTCTAGTTTTATCTTTACATAAAACTAACAATAACAACATATCCAGTTTTATCTTGACATAAAACTAATAATAACAACATATAACATATCTAGTTTTATCTTGACATAAAACTAATAATAACAACATATAACATATCTAGTTTTATCTTGACATAAAACTATTAATTGCAACATACTATATAACTTAACATATAAAACATCCGAATATAACTTCGGAACTATATCACACACAAAATATATATAGAATTCTAAGTATAACTCAAGATCTACATTAATATACTACTATAACAATAACATGTTAACAATGTTACGATAATTGTATATTCTCATATACGAAATAACTATATCTCGGTTATTATAACTATCTATGTTGATACTAATATACTATCATATAGACATAATAATCACATATATACAATGACTAGCATGCGTTTTCCCCCGAAATATTAGAAAGTGGGGCCGTAAAACTCACCTTAGTAGCATGATTTTATGTAATCTAATTAGAAACGATCAGCAGTACGAGGTCGTCGGGGCTCGGGAAGCGAAACGGCTTCAGCAAACGAGAGAGAGAGAGAGAGAGAGAGAGAGAGAGAGAGAAAAGAAATGGTGTACTAAGCCTTGGGGTCGAAATGGCTATTTATAGTAAAAATTTATGACACTCACGTCATGAGTGTCATAAGGCTCACGTCGTGAGTCTTGCCTGATTCACTACATAGACTTGCCATTTGCGTCCCTGAAGGTGGCCATGACTCCTCACGTCATGAGTGTCATAAAGCTCACGTCGTGAATTTGGATCCTATCCTCTCGCAGCTTCTAGATTCCGAATTATGACAGAATGACTCCTCATGTCATGAGCGTCATAAAAATCACATTGTGAATTAGCTATTTTTAGGATTTTTAAAAGCTAAATCTTCGGAAGGCCATAACTTTTGCATATCAACTCCGTTTTTGACGTTCTTTATATGCACGTGTAGGTATTTACGAGTACTACAAATCTCTTTTAGACTTAAATAGCTAACTCTAAGTCTATTTTAAATTTCTCTTATTATAGAGATTTATAGTGCTCGGTTATCATAACTTCTTCATGCGAAGTCAGATTTAGACGTTCTCAATATTTTTGGAATCATATGGACGTATACTTTGAGTTGTATCATAAAGAAAGTTCATATTTGTATTAGAATTTATCATGAACTACATAACATTCTTACCACATTACTAGGTTAACATAATCACATTACATGATTGGCATAATCACATGTGATTGTCTATTGACCTATTTTGACTAGTGTTACATATTCTAAAAACATTGTACAAAAGTAATTGTTGGAGAAGTTATCTATGATAAATAAATATGATGCTTTGTGCGAATCCTTTCTTATGTCAGAAGTAAACCGACACTATATTTCTTGTCCATTTTATTACTTTAATTAAAATAAGTAATTGATAATGAAATATCTTATTAAAAGAAAACGTTGTAAATGAACATTTCTTACAGAAAAATAATCACTACCACCAGCTTTCTTATTCTCAACTCAGACACATTCGGAATTGGGTTCGTATAAAAGCATAAGTTTAAATGGACCTATACCAAATTAATGTTTGTTAGAAAATGAAAAAAAAGGGTGCACACATACATAAGCTACAATCAAAAGGAATCACAATGAATCATAAATCAGTTGCATTACTTAGTCTCAAAGAAATTTGTTTCACATCATTAATTATAGCTCAACCAAGTCATGAGCAGTCAAAAAACACAATAAGTAAATTAATATAGTAGATCTTAGTAGACATGTATAAGCATAAAAGTACATTCCAAGACTTGGGTTGACTTTATATTAGCTTGACCATTCTCTTTTGCATACCCTCCACCTCCATTACCTACAAATCGAGTAAAAGAGAAAAGTTAGGCCTGCTCTGTAAAGCAAAAAAACTCATTCATACTTTAAAGTCAATTTCAAATATAAACACATGTGTGCACTCCTCAATTAAACCAACTTCTGAAAGAGAATGTTTTTATTATCAATTATCATTTTCCATCATAGGAATTGTAATGTAGTCCATTGGAAGAGCATGCAAATAAGAACATTGTGGTTGAATGTTGTGTTACAGGCAGAACGAGGTGGTGTTTGTTTTCATGGATGATGAAATGTGGTAGAAGTTATGGTCCTTCACAACTCTTAAAACTATTTCACTCCATAATCCACCCACCTTACAACCCTTACACTTTACCCCCCCCCCATCCTCTTCAGTCCAAGAATAACTGCATCTATTCACTCGTCTGGATAATATTTTTCCCTGTTCACTAATAAATCGACTAATTAAACTCATGTTTTTATAATCAATTCGATCCCCCGATTGGATCGGGGGAAAACGCCTACGAAAAGATCGCTTGGATTTAAGAAAAGTTCACTTGGATTTATCCATGGTTTGGTTAGTTTATTTCTTATCCCTAAAATCCTATTTCATCTGTATCTCTAATTAGAATAAAAAAATAGGATTTGGATTGTTTATAATTAACTTTAACTATGTTAAATATGTTATATATATAATGTCATTTTTTTCCTTTTCCTTGTAAGATAGATAAGGGCGCAGGTGCTCGGTTCGATCTATTTCTTTACCTCCCCGTGAATCGTATGTTTGTAACAATATGGACAAAATTTTCGCAACTCCAATCGATTAGGCGTATTGTGCCGGTTCTTTTGAGTAATATATCTAGAAATGCGCGTGAGGGATTCAGTTGCCATCAATCTTCATTGTTATTAAGATCTTTAGCAAAAAAAACACTCGTTCTTCCAAATTTAAGACACACTAAACCCATTTAGAATAAACAACCCATATGTATAATTTATGGAAATTACTGTTTCGCCCTTTTCATAGTTCATCTTATTATTCAACAAACAACAAAGCCAATTTAACTGCATTCAAAACTTCTTGCTTCAATGACTATTGCTAGCTACAAGATATTAAAAAAATGGATCTAAAGCTAAATCATAACAACTTACATATATATATATATATATATATATATATATATATATATATATATATATATATGATAAACTCGCCAACACCTACGACAAACATTGAGAGGCCCTACATCAAACTTACTTGTAAGTTCCGTATGAGATTAAGGCCCTTAGTCAATTATCAGTTTCCATTCAACTGGAAACAATATCAGTTTCACAACTAATAAATGAACATAAATGAGTAGGAAATGAATATAAAAGAAATTAATTGAATGAAAAACCAATGTAAGCAACTATGAGATAGATATTAACTAGGTATGTCATTAAACTGGTGTGCAACAGATATAACTCACTTTAGGGGCATGTCCGGATCAAGGGTAAATTAGTCAACAAACGCAAAACTACCCCTCGACAAAGGTA